ATAAATAGGTTTTGGGACAATTCTCTCTATGTAAATGGGTTTCTCGACGAATTCCACATATTTCTCTGGTGGCGAAAGGTAAACGTGATGCACTTCCGGTGCAGTATAGTAACCAGCCTTGTAACTGAAAATGAAATAAGAAATAAAAAAGTCATTTATTGTATTACGTAGAAAAATAAAGTTTTTAATTAATTTGATGTCGTGTTAACATTTTAAATTTTATATATCGTTTATCATACATTTATATATCAAGAATTTTAGTGTTAAAAAAGAAAATAATAGGACTCTATTTCTCTTATGGCCAAAATAATATGAATAATAACTCTATATTATTGAAATATATATATTATTGAAATACATTATATATAAGTCTAAAATATGTTATTGAAATATATATATCTTGCTTTTTTGCAAAATTAATCTCTATTAATAATTAAGAGCAATAAAATAAAAAACAAAATGAGAAAGAATATAAATTTGTTACCCCTTTGCGACTCCAAGACCGAAACCAAGAAGACCAGCGCCGAGCAGCTTCTTTTTCAAGAATAACGTTCTCTTTTCCCTGGTGTGTATCGCGTCACCATCAACCTGATCTTCGATAGCGACATTTCCGATATCCAGAGATTGTTGATTCTGTTGGACAATCTCTTCCGCTGTTGCTCTCAATACGAGGAAACAACAAACAGTGGCAATGATGGTAACAATAGTGTGATACATCTCTGTTAAAAAATAAATATTTTGTATCGATATCGTATTTATCATCAATTTCTCTAAACGAATAACATTTGCAAAATACTAACATCTAACACCAATTTATAAATAAATAAAATTTTTAGTCTTAAATAATTAATACAAACATACGTGCCAAGTGGCATATAACAAAAATTTAATTTTAATTTTACTTTACATTAATTTTAGTTTTAAAAGTAGACCACATTTAAAATTAAATAATTTAATTTGAGATAAGTTCTAATCCGATTATAAATGAATTACACCCGTCTCTTCGGATGTAACACCGAGGTACGTTTATAACGATAATTTTATTAAAACATAAACTTGTTTCATTTGCCTGAGCGCGTGTTGTCTCTTGTTATCGAAATTAGAATTGCGATCAACAAGGAAGCGATAAAGAAAGCGTGCAAAAAATTTCGCGTACTTTCTCTAAGATCCTGTTTAATACCTGGAGAACTGATTTCGCTTACCTTGCGTCTTAGTACAACAAAGAAGATTAGCCCAGTAAAGATCACGATGACGATACACCGCGAAGACAAGTCCGAATACTGTGACTGATCGAGGAATCGTTCGATTTTATACTTGCCTACCTCGCTACTGTTTGCGGACATTATAAGCGCAATTCTGAAGCCACCTCCCCTTCCATAGCATCCTAAATAGGCGGCTTAACATCGGCTTTAGGATGATTAACCGTATTGTGACACTCGGGAAGTATTATTGCATACATCACTATAGCGACAGCTCAATCCTGTGCCATGTTGAGAGGAAGTTCCGTAGGAACTTTATAAATCTCTTCAGTTTGCTTTGCTTAAATAAGGAAAGAGATTAATCTGACGTAATTAATTTGCTCCAAAAATTATCTCCACAATCAAAGCATTATTTTAATCCTTTTCCACTTTAATATTTTCATTTTAATACGTCAACATTTTCTAACTTCATATTTTATCCAAAAAGAATAAATTTTTCATTGAGAAATAAAAAATGAGTTACAATATTTTTTGCTAGGTATACGAAGTACATGGTAAACTTCAATCAACTGTGCATGCTAAAAGATTAATTATATAAATATATCTAAAATCATTACTTTTACATTATTACAATACTTTTACAATATAAGAATTCTCTGGTTCCTATCACGTTTCCATAATGCGATGACGCTTCTTTCCTAAAATACCATATTTGGCGTTCGCAATAGTTTACAATTGCAATTTCTCCAGAAAAACCTGTTCGAGATTTTCTTCCGCTTTCGAGCTTAGGAAAAGTATCATGAAAGAGTAATCAATTACTAGCGATCTAGATGAGACTTTATATAGACAGAACTTGGCAGAGCCGCATAGAAAGACGAATTCGAGGAAGTGAAAGAAAGTGGAGAAATAATAGGAACATGATGCGGACGTCGCTTCGATTTATCAACCCTACGACATGACAAGCAGATAGTATACACTATTGTCGGCTGCAACAAGTAGAACGATGAAGGAAAGAATTAGAAGACACAGAGAGAGAGAGAGAGAGAGAGAGAGAGAGAGAGAGAGAGAGAGAGGAGGCAAGGAGAAAGCGAGAGACTGCGCAATAAATTTTCCATTCTTTCTTTGTGGCATGTATATCCCACGTGGTTTGTCTTTCAGCGATACACGTGCCGCACGCAATCGCGTCTTGTTACGTTGCGATCTGATACAAATACGTAATCATTGACACGCACGCGGCCACACACGCGCGTATGAGTACGCGAAATGCGATCGACGATGAATGACAATGAAACCCAATCCTCGCCCGTCGCCGCGATTATAATCTGACATTACGAACAATCTAAGCAGTGATCATCGATATACAGCTGGCGTATTTAGGTATTACAGCATATAAGGATATCTTGTTGCCAGTAAAACTGACGTGAATATTCTTCTCGTAACAATGAAAACTTAATAAGGAAAAAGAATTTGCGGAAGAAATATAGAAATAATGAGGTCTCTCTTCTAGATTCTCGATTTTTCATAATGTGCAATTAATTGCAATAATTAATTAATAAAATAATTATATGTACGTTTTAATAAATCAATTAGTTTTTACAATAGTTAATTGATTTGCCTAAATAGATTAATATTTTTTCTCTGGAAGATATCGAGTTCTTCATAATTATCAATACATTTTATTCTTTAATAACAAATAAAAAATAAAACGGCTGTAAGAATAAAAAACTTAAAAAATAAAATAATTATTATCAATAAGAGCCAGCGAATATTGCGCAATTAAATTCTATTATAACTGCAGAATCAACTTTTCACTTTGTGAATTGTAAAAGTTGATCCCAGTTGTAATAAAATTTAACTACGCACTAATATCCGCGCTAGCTCTTGTTGGTGCGTTTTACTTTATCTTTTTTAATCTTTTGTTTTTTATTTCTTGTTCGTCTCATTTTATAAATTAAATTATATTAATTTATTAACATTATTTAATTATATTATGTTTATTTTAAAATAAAGGCAAATTCTGATTTTTGAAAAAACATTCTTCTCTCCACCACATGAACTTAAATTGACTTAAATTCTAAGCCTAAATCTATCGCTGGACAGGATTGGTGGAATCGATGAGAGATGATACACGGCACAATTCGGTAATTGACATAGAAAATGTCCGAGAGTGAGCTTTCGCAAGCAGACGTGAAACAGGCGAAATTTCACTGACTGAGTCGCAAAGGCCGCCGCGAGATGTGGGCGACGTATTTCCAATATTTTTTCAACGCCCGCTCATCCCCCGCTAAGGACGGCATGGCTCAACCCCTCAATGCTATTCGTGTAAAAGACGTGTCTTCACGTCTCGTAAGTCGCGCTGTAGAAACTGACAGGCCATTTGTGCGAGGAGATTAGCATGGAAATGGAAATTCAGTTCGCCCTTTAATAAGAGACACTTCCGCATGCCAGAAGTATAGATAGCTTATCGGGACAAAGTTCATCATTTTTTTGCTATCCTCTAAATTACATTTCCAGAAATAAATATGTTGTTTATTGCATCCCGCGTAAATAGATCTAGTGTAATTCTGATATTTTATTAATATTAATAATAATATAAAATTTAATATAATTAAATTATGTTTAATTAAAGTCTATTAATTTGTATCAATGTTGAATGCAATATTTAATATTAATATACTTACCAAAATAATAGAAATTAGAAAATATTTTTTAACAATATTAATATATAGAACTTAATAGTCTTCCTTAGAAATTAATTTGGATTTTATTTCTAAAATGAACATCTAGTAATGTGAAATTAGAAATGATGGAAGAATAAACAATTCCAAACTTTTTATGATCTAAATAATATTAAATAAAAAATATATTTCTTTTATTTTCATTTAAAATAAATTAGAAGAAATTTTATATCGAGGTCATAATTTAAAAGTTTAATAACTAAATATGTGGGAATTTTAGAATAGTATGTAGAAATATTCTTTAAAAAACATGTTTGTATTTGCGTAGAGAGATTGTAAAATAAACATAAAAGTCTAAATCACAATGTCTTTGTGAACATCAAAATGTGAAACGCGATCGAAACTACGCCGTGCAGCAAATCGACCACGCACGTACTAAATTCGATATTCACTTTTCGCTTTGTATTCTTCCTCAGTACTCTCTCCTGAGAGAAAAGCGCCATCCGCAAACCTGTATAATTCACCACAAAAACTTCGCATGCCGCGATTACAGAGGTGACTTCATAAATAATTTATCAGGCTGACATTCGTGGGGTTTTTTCCACAAGGAGTGTGCATATTAATTAAAAAAATTCTTTTTCTCGAGGAAATATAAATTAAGATCCTCTCTCCGAAATGAATACAAGCCTTTACTCGCACCTCATGAAATATATGTAATATAACTATTTAAGCATTTAGACTTAATTCGTCCACTTGTCTAGTTACCATTTGTCTAGACGTTCTATTGAAATTACGTGAGCTGGCATACATATTTTGGCAATGACGTACTCGCAGAGTGAAATCAATCGATGCATTCGACATCAATCCCAGGTGCGTGTTTGACTTCCCAAATAGAATGTTGCACAATGAAGTTACCGATTAATTTACCTCAGATGCTATCTCCATCGTCAAAGAATTAGGTCGCTGTGCTGAAATTGTGAATATAGAAAAAAAATGTAAAAGTAAATAATTAGGAAATGAGACTTAAATGCATAAATAATAATGCATTCGAATTAAAATAATTTTGAAGATATAAAAATAATTAAATAATCTTAAATCTTAAGAAAATAATCTTAAATTTTGTAAAATAATTTATTTTTTTATTAATAATGAATAATAATTTTATATTGAATGATAATTACAAAGATTAAATATAATAATTTCCTATTTTCTTCATATGCAAAATATTAATAAATTGTATATACATTAATATCTTAACTTTTTGGAAAATTTTCTATATTATATAATAATAAATTCGCAATAATATTTATTATTCTTATTAGGGCAAAAGTTAAGGTTTAGCATAAATTTTTTTGTTTTTGAAATAGTCGTAAAAATATACATAACTTTAACATTTCAAGGAACTACATATGTAATTTCCTCGATATAAAAATGTTTGAATCCATTAATGGAAATGATAAAAGGATCAGATAATAAAAATTAATAAAAATAATACAGCTGCGATTATGTTTCGCGTGTCAAGTTTTCTATATGGCTCCATTTGCTTAACCAATTTGTTAATCAATTATTTAATCAATTTAATTTAACTTCATTTAAACTCATTTAAAGGAGAAATTTTGATAAAGTAAAGCTACATTTCATCATTATCAGTAGGTCGAGCTAAATTAAAATCAAGGATTTCGTCCGATGTTAAGAAACGGACATCGCTGTCTTCCGAGAGCGCCGATCCGCTCGCTCCTCTTTTATAAGTTTTCCTCCTTCTGATAACAATAATCACAGTCGCAAGTGTCACACAAAGCACACACAAAGCGACCAAAGTTGCACCCACTGCGGTAATGATTTCCAGTATTTCGATGCCTCCACTCTGTTTCACCTTTTCTGGATTTTGCTTCACGGTGTGTAAATCTGCAAATTTTTCTCATTGTCAATAACATAAAAGAGCAGTCAGCATAATCCTAACAACAAAAATGATTATTGAACTGCTATTTTAAATCATTAAATTAATTACATATTATATTATAATGTATAAATAATTACAGTTTTTTTTTAAATAAATTAAATTAGTTTATCTCAAGACGTGCTATTTGTGTTAAAAGTGTAAAATTTGTGTAAAATTTGTCTTGCATTTTTTCTTTCGACTTGTCAGCTAATAGTTATGTATGTCAAGAAAAAGGTCAGTCAATATTTATAATAAATATAGATATATTATACATTTGTGATGTAGTTGTTCAAAATTGATAAGTCTATATCTTAACTTTTTAACTCACTTCGAACTTTCTTCAAGAACTAAACCAGATCAAGACGTCCCATCGCGATTTAATATCAAATAATATTTCTTACTTTCTCAGTATATAATGAAATAAATATACCAGATCGATCTTGAAGTTCTATGTATTTCGTTGTCGAAGTTTTTATCTGGGGTACGAAAGGTGTTTCTTTCGTTTCCGTCTGCTGCGTTAATTTTGCAGGTGTTGTTCTCCGTATAGTCGGTTTCTTGGTTTGAGGCTTCATTTGAGACGTTGAAATCATAGGTCTTTGCGTTGTCGTTGTGCTGTTAGATCTTCGCATTGTCATTAATGTTGTCGATGTCGTCAAGTTGAACATACCTGGGTCGATGTCATCCTTCGGATTTATAGGAAATCCTGTCAGAGTAGAATTCTTTACCGGTGCAACCGTCGCTGCACTCGGTAATCCTGTCGTGACATTATCGAATATTGTGCTATATCCTGCAATGATAATTAAGATTCCAATCATATATCACAAAATTGAATAACATACCATATATGGAATCGCTATTGTGATTTTACATAATTTGATTTCAATAAGCATATCCTATCAAAACATCCTATTGGGGATCCTATTAAAATAGTAAACAGTTACCTAGTATGCAATATTCAGCGTAATCTGGGCAGCAAATAGAGCGTTCCGCACAATCGATCGTGCAAAGGCAACTCTCTGGTCCAAATGGCGGGATAGATACAATGCTTTCTAATGAAACACATCTGTCTCGACAGGTTTGTTGCGCGTTAACAATTTCGATTTGATCTGAAACAGATTTTTCAGAATATTTATCCAGTCTATTTTTCTTTATACACAATTTTTTGACAATGACATTAATTTCTAGATATTAATTTCTAATAATAAAAATTATATTAATAAAAATGTCATAAAATGTCATAATAAATGTCACATTTCTATATGTACATAGAAAGTATTGTCATATTGTCAAAAAAAATTTTGATTTTATGTGGAATATTAATATCACATTTTTATGAAAATTAATATTATATTGTCAGAAAGAAATTCTGCAAAATTGTTCAAATATTTAATACCCTGTATTTTATTTTACTGCAAGGTAATCGTTAAAATAAAATTGTGACGTCTGAAGTTGACAGTGATCTTCAAACTGAAATATGTTCCAAATATTGTACGTAAAATGTATTTTAAAGAAATTTAATTTATACACGTTACTTTTTGCAAATATTTTTCAAAAATTTTGTCAAATAAATTTATATAATACTTGCAATTACTCTATCATAAAATACATCAATTTTCAATTTTTAATAAATTTTTAATAAATTAATTTTAATAAAAATTTACCCTCATCGCTTACAGTTACGTTGACAGATTCATTTTTAACAATACAATCATCTCCTTGTAAAATAGCGACATCGTCTATTGCGATATCACTCACATAAGTGATACCTCGCACTCCTTCTATGATAATCTGTAAAAAATGTTTAACTTTTTTTTTAATTTTTTAATTAAAGCTAATATTGAAATAATATTATGTGTTATGTATTAACAAAGCAAAGAAATCGTATTCAAAATATAATGAAAGCTTCGACAAAAATTTCTAATTTTCTTTTAATTTTAATTTTTTTTAATAATAATGTAATATTATATTAAAAAAAAACAATGATCAAAGACACAATTTAATTATTTAAGAAACAATTATTTTATGTTACCTGAAAGCTGGCGTTAGCTTTTGGTAATTCGGAAATGCCATGGAACCATTGATTTCCTTGATTTCCACTTTTGGTGAATATCAATCGTGGCATAGTATCTTCTTGCTTGAAATATATATTCAATGAGCCAATTGTGGCACCGTACATATGATACCTATTGAAACAGTTTGTAAAATATTAATAAATGAAATATGTAAGCTACATTATATAAATCCCTCATTTTTATGATATAAAAATATAAAAATTTTTGCAATTATTATATTGCATTTCTCTATTAACTTTATTTTATTTCATTTCATTTAAAAAATTTTTTTAATTTAATAAATTTATTCTTAAATTTTATTTATTAAAATTGTAATAGAAATGTTTGAAAATTTAAACAATTTTATTTATTAATTATTTATAGAACAATAGAAGTGCTTTTTCTTAAAAAAGTCTAAAAACTAATTGAAGTTGTATATAAAAACTTATAAACTGAAAGGATTTATTTTATATTATATTATTTACCAGAATGAGAAACATCCTGAATTAGTCAATGAAGAATTGTACAGGGGAGATATGATTCTTGCTGTATCATTTATCAATCGTCCGGATGCCTCAATATAAAGATAATATCCTAAAGTTGTCAAGTATGAGCAATAATTAGAAAAACAATTTATTTCCTTTCTGCGTAATTTATAATCTAGCATTTCGTTGAAACATTGAAGTTATTTAAAGTCATAGGAAGACACGTACCGTCATTTCCAGCTCCCAGAGTGTGATCGTGCGTCGGACCAGTACCAATATGCAAACTCGGTGTCTCAAAGTTATGACGTTTCCAATCAAAATCATGTTGTGGGTCTTGTTCCCACCAACAAAGATCCGGACTTTCAAAATCGCATTGTGTCGGTGCGGTTGCGTTCGCCTCTTACCATAGATTATCACAAAAATTGTATTAACGCGAATAAAACTTGTGATGTTATTATCACAAAGCAGAAAAAAAGTATAAAACTTTTAATTAAAATTAAGTAAAGAAAAAGCTGAAAAGGAAAAAAGAAAAAAGGCTTTACATGCAATTATGTAAAAATAAATATATATTACAAATTGAGCAAGCGTGACATACTAAGCTTCTCAGTAACAATAATTAAATTATCCCCGAGACTTATTAACCCTCAATTACATGAGTGGGTCATTTGGACTCGAGTGAAAATTTTAGTCGACTGCTATTTTTGTACGGTTAATATTGCAGAGTTGAAGAAAGAAGATAAAAAGACTTGAAACCTTTTTTTATCGATCGCCGTGTTGTAATTATTTCGTTGTTGTCTGGATGTTAATTGTGATGCAATAAAAGTTTGGCTTACTTGGATAACTTGGATCTCTCAAATGTAAATTCGAAAGATTTTTGACAAAAGAAAATTTGTGAAAAGTTTTTAGTAAGTGTCTGTTTATTAGTGTTATATTTAAATATATGTGTTGTTTTCTTCTAATTAAAATATATATTCAGTCAAATATATATTCAGTCAAAAAAAGTATTTTTGCGAGAGAGATCTTGGCGAAATCGCTCTATTTTCTCGGAGTTATATAATCGTGAGTAAATAATGTCGAAATCATTTTATATTTAATATAAAATATTTTCATTGTATTTTTCATTGTATTTTTTAAAATAAGAAAATATCCGACATACCTTCGATATCATTATTTCCCAGAGAAAGGTTTTTTCAATGTTGAGGGTTATATTAAGAGATCATAGATAATACCACAAGGGACATTTATAAGCTCTTGACGCTCTTTTATATCAATTCATTTTCATTTTTAATCCTAATTGACTCTCTTGTTTAAATTTATACTATTCCATAGATATTTTTAGTTTATTAAAATATCAAATTAAATTTTTCTATTTTTTTTTATTATTTATTTTTATTCAATTTTTATCTCTTAAATTTTAATTTATTTCTCTTCTTTTTATTCGTTTTAAACTTAATCTTTTAACTTTCAATTTTTAACAATCTATCGGACTTTTATATCTTATCTTTGAACTTAACAGGATTCTCGACTTTGACCGATGAATTTGTTATCAACAAGTTTTTGTAACATTGACCTCCAAAAAATACGCTAAATCATTGTTTGGTATCTATATAATTATTATAATCTTATAACTTATTGTTTTCGTAGCGTTTGACATAGTCTCTTATCTTTTTTATTTTTATTTTCTTAATCTTTTTACATATTATTTTCTTTTATGCTTTTTCAATTTATGCTTCTTTCATTTTAAATTACGGCTTAAGCTTTTCAATTCTCCTTGCCCTTCATTATTTTATTACATTGTGACTTTTTCAAACTAATGAAAACTAAGTAATGTTTTTATTATTTTTTTCATTTTCTCAGAGAATAAATTAATTAATTAAGTCTTCGTAATCCATTATTGCTTGTTTTCGCGTCAATACTGCTATTATTTTTCTTTTATTTTGCAAATTTGTAAGGCTTTATTATGTTTTTTAAGTAATTATTTTTTGCGTTGCTAATTTTTCTAAAGTATTTATATCTTTTACTTTGTAGAATACAATGCATTTATTAAGCAAGCAAAGCAATAATAATTAAATAAAATTAATTTTTTTATTGCAGTACTTCGACAATAAGGAATTGTTCCATTCCATTGACGTCCGTCGCAATAAATTTCAGGGTTACCGATCAGAAAGTAACCAGGTTCGCAGAAGAACATTAATATTCCACCATTTAATTTTTGTACTATAATTGAGTGACTAGGCGCTGATGGTACGGGACATTCCGCGTCTAAACACCAAAAAAAATAAATCAAATCTATTAATCATCTTATCTCATTTAAAATTTAGAAAACACGTTGCATTTAATATTTACTATTATCAATAATTCCTTCATTAAAACTGATTAAAATATATTGATAGTGCAAATCGTTACAGTGCAATTATTTTGTTTATTATTGTACATTACTCTACAGACATGTTTTATTTTATTAATATTCTAATCAAAATATTTAGTATCGGAGAACCTGTTAAGAGAATTTCTGCATACCTAGACATTAAATTATTGGAAATTAAACTTTTTTTAAGAAAGACGATCGATCAAGAAATATTACAGATGTCACGTTACAAAATCCGTTAGCATTATTTAATTAACCATTTCGTCAGTTATTCTTACTTTAAATTTTACTTACTCACACACACGGGGACAGATGTGTCCCATTGTCCACGTGCACACGTGGAATATTTGTTGCCCACAAGAGTAAATCCATCGAAACAATTAAACCTCGCGATTCTACCTCGACTTCGAATGCGAATTCTTCCGTTGTTCAATCGTATCATGGGACATCCTCCTGAAAGAAATTACAATTATTATTACAAAACATCATTAATTCAAGAATAGTTACCTGATTTCTTCTTTATATATAAAGCTTGCAGGCCTATTCTGTAACTCTTAATTCACGTTTCGTTATCATTATAACGCTGCTGCGCAATATTTTTACCATAGTAAAAGAGCTGCGCAGCTGCGTAATAATGATAATAAAATTTATGTTAAGAGTTACAGAATAGGCCTGCGAGTGTTTTTTATATATCCTAATTAAAACCACTATTATTTATCATATATTGTATATTATTAATTTTTTCCTAAATAGTATTTGAAAACATTATAAATATGAATTTAATCACAATTTTCTGAAAAAAGTAAATAGATATTAAGTAAGTAATTAAATAAAATAAGCATGTTAAATAATTAATTATGATAGTATTTCTAAAAAATAAGAATTTTAATTAATACGATGTTTTTTAATTGTGTGCTTTTGATGGAATTGCACATTTAATATTCGTAAAAAATAGTTACTAACAGAAAAAAATATATTAAACAATGTATAAAAAAATATTTTACAATAATTTACACTTTTTCGCCGGAATATAAAAATATCTCAGCTTATTATTTTATAAAACTCCAACATTCTTTAATTTAACAAAATTAGATAATAATAATATAAGATATAATAAAAATAAAAATGTACAGTTATATATAATATTAGTATGATTTTAT